AACGCATTTTCAAAAATAACTTCTGTCTGAGATTAAAAACGTTTTTATTTTCATTTTCATAGAAAAATAAAATCATTTTATAATGAGTTCCAAACACACCCAAAGCTACAGATGCGAGCTTGATTTCTCACATATCAGTTAGAGCATCTTCAATCCAATGCTAAATTAGTGTACCAGTGTCAAATTTTGGCATTTGAGTAGAAAAATCACTCTCGATGCAATACTATTCTCATTGCTAAATTTGACATATGCTATATTTGGTCACAAATTTAATACCAAGTATAGCATATGCCAAATTTTAACATTTGATTCTTATTGGTTGATTTTTTTTATTATTTTTTATATTAAAACAGTCTATCTCAAACTGCATACGTTTAGCCGTGATTAAATATATTTTTCATGTTTCTTTTCTTGGATCTTGATATAAGCAACAAAGAGCATGTTGACCATATCATTTTCTTACGTTTGATTGAATATTGAGTACATTAATTCGTTGTAAGAACTTAAGCATCCGGTTCTGGTATTTCTTGCCAAAGCTATTAGATAGAGTATTGCTTCTATTCTGTGCATATTTCTGTGGACTATGAACCAAAGAAGCAAATCCATAATAATATATGTCTTTCTCAGATTTTGTTGCTTGTCTGATATTTCATCGTGGTTGTGTTGTCAAGACCGCTGGTGATAGGAGCGAATCTTTGGAGATCCGGAGATCGGAATCCTGTGGAAATATGAGCCCCGTTCATTTTGCTGATTCGAGTTTAGAATTCGAGTTTTGCTACAGTAAAAAGTTCTCACAAACAATCACATCTAATTTTTTTGCTACAGTAAAAAGCTCTCACATAAAATCACATCTCAACTCGAATTAAAAACTCGAATCAGCGAACTAAACGGGCCTATGATGTTTAGATATTAATTATGCCGTTGTATAAATACGTTGTGTTCTTTCTTATATTTATTGACGTTTGTTTTAAGAGTTCTGTTTGATTTAGAATCATAGTTTTTAATTCTGTTACAGTATTTTTCTCTCACAAAAAATTAAAATTTTAAAAATTAAAATCATATATTATGATTTTAAACTTATGAACCAAACCTCACCTTAACTTCTATAGTTCTTTTCAAATTTCTTTCATTCAATCAATACTTGGGCGATTATGAAAGAATTTTTTTTATAACAATATGGACAATTTCAATTGGGATGGCTTTTGCTAATATGAAAAGTATATCAATAGGAATACAATTTTAAGCCATCAGACGAAAAAATCGGAGAACGTTTGGTTTATGGATTCATAATCATAAGTCAGAACCATTCTCATTTTACATGTGTTTTTTATGAGAGAAAATACTGTAGCGAGTCACGAACCATGATTTGAATCATAGCACGAATTTCCCTTTCAAACGTCCCCCGCCGGTTCATAATTGTATTATACTAGTAGTGTATTTTTCATACCCCGCTACAGAATTATCTTTTCATGATAATGTTTACGGGTGTTGTTCCTTTGTTCCTACAACAGTGCTCAATTGTTTCAACTATAATAGCTAAATCAAATTTTTAGACTAATTTATAAGATTTGGCTTCTCATGGAATCCTCTTGTTACGTTTCCTCCTCATTAAAGTCACTCATCACATACGAACATTTGGTTCATAGATTCAGAATCATGATTCAGAACTATTCTCGGTTTATGTGTGTTTTTTGTACAAGAAAACATTATAGCGAGTCACGAACCATAATTCGAACTATGACACGAATCCTCATACCAAACACAAATTTTTTAATAAGGGTTTTTAACACTATTGTCCTCCGAATTTTTTATGGTTTAGCAAATTTCTCTCCAAATTTTTAATTTTGACAATCAACTCCAGGAATTTATACAACTATTGCAATGTGTCTTATTTTACTAAATTTACTCGAATTTTTTTTATTAGATTTAATGGATTAAAAGTTAAGAAAATATACTATTTGTGTTACATTTAAATTGTGATGTTAGAATTTTTTATCGAACATGCTTTTTTTGTCAATAAGTTAACACAATCATCGTGAAAATAAGACGTATTGCAACAATTTTACAAATTGAATGGCCTATTTATCAAAATTAAAAGTTCAGAAGCAAGTTACTAAAACCATATAAGTTCAAAGAAAAATGTGTAAAATACCCGTTTTTTTTTATAATGTTGAAAATGAAGCCAAAGATGACGTATTGAGGACGGGAGACTGTATTGGTTTTTCAAAGTTGAGTTGAGGAAGAAAAGGGCAGAGAATAAGGGTGTCAAAGACATCATCTACTAAACTTCGTTTATTTCACCGATTTGAGTTTTCAGTTTTAGGTTTCTATAGTAAAAAACTCTCAAAAAATGTTACATCTAACTTTTTCTACTACAAGGAAAAACTCTAAAAAAATATCACATCTCATCTCAAATTAAAAACTCAAATTCGTGAAGTGAACGAGATCTAAATACTTTACCTACTGCTTCGCTGTTTCTCATCTTATATGATGTGAACACATTTTTATTCTGCCCTTTGCCACTATTAATGTCTTTTAAGAAGACTGAGACAATATATTTTTACATACATAAAAGAGTAAAAAAAAAACTTTTCTTTCTTTTTAGCATGTGTCACTACAAGAAGGCTTTTCCTTCTTTTGACACCTCATATTTTTTCCTTTCTTTTCTTGTTTTTCTCAAAACATTTTCACGATTTTTTCGTTTCTTTTTTATTTTTCAATTTTTACTAAACTATACTCTCAAGGAATAATAAGTTTAAAAAGAAAAAGAAAATTTTATAAGAAAGTTTAGATCTTTGTATTAAAAAAATGTAATACATGAGTCTTAGACTTTACCTTATTCTTAATTAATACTTTTTAGTCAAAAAAATATATTAGTCAAAAAGGTATTAATAAAAAATAAGAGATAAAAATCTAGAACAATGCTTTCTTAAAGAGTTAGTTTACCAATTTTCTCATTCAAAAAGTTCACGCACACTCATAAGTGATAACAGTCATTGATCAGCATGGTCTCAATTTCCTTCAAAATTCTCTAAGCCTGGGCTCGCATGACATAAAAAGTAGACCCCATCCGTGTGCAAGCCCCGGATAACGACACTGGGTGTTAAACACAAGCCCCGGGCAGCCGTGTTTGCTGTTTAACACCCGGCATCACCCATGAGTCCTCTCCAGTCCCCAGCACACATCATCAAGGTTAACATTTTAGTTTCTTCCATTTAACTTTGAGAAACATGTTTCAATCATACCAAGAAATTAAACGCTCGTCAAAAGATAACATCAAGCCATCTTTTTTGAGAGAGAGGATTTAACTTTAAGAAACATGTCTCAATCATACCAAGAAACTAAACGCTCGTCAAATGATAACATCGAAGCATCTTTTTTGAAAGAGAGAGGTACATTCGGTACGGCTTTAAGTATTTGTATACTGACCAGCAGACATGTAAACGTAAATGCTATGAAAAACGTGGGAAGGCCGTAGGACTGCTGCATATACTGTGTGTTACATTTAAATTGTGATGTTAGAATTTTTTATCGAACATGCTTTTTTTGTCAATAAGTTAACACAGTCATCGTGAAAATAAGACGTATTGCAACAATTTTACAAATTGAATGGCCTATTTATCAAAATTAAAAATTCAGAAGCAAGTTGCTAAAACCATATAAGTTCAAAGAAAAATGTGTAAAATACCCGTTTTTTTTTATAATGTTGAAAATGAAGCCAAAGATGACGTATGGAGGACGGGAGACTGTATTGGTTTTTCAAAGTTGAGTTGAGGAAGAAAAGGGCAGAGAATAAGGGTGTCAAAGACATCATCTACTAAACTTCGTTTATTTCACCGATTTGAGTTTTCAGTTTTAGGTTTCTATAGTAAAAAACTCTCAAAAAATGTTACATCTAACTTTTTCTACTACAAGGAAAAACTCTCAAAAAATATCACATCTCATCTTAAATTAAAAACTCAAATTCGTGAAGTGAACGAGGTGTAAATACTTTACCTACTGCCTCGCTGTTTCTCATCTTATATGATGTGAACACATTTTTATTCTGCCCTTTGCCACTATTAATGTCTTTTAAGAAGACTGAGACAATATATTTTTGCATACATAAAAGAGTAAAAAAAAAACTTTTCTTTCTTTTTAGCATGTGTCACTACAAGAAGGCTTTTCCTTCTTTTGACACCTCATATTTTTTCCTTTCTTTTCTTGTTTTTCTCAAAACATTTTCACGATTTTTTCGTTTCTTTTTTATTTTTCAATTTTTACTAAACTATACTCTCAAGGAATAATAAGTTTAAAAAGAAAAAGAAAATTTTATAAGAAAGTTTAGATCTTTGTATTAAAAAAATGTAATACATGAGTCTTAGACTTTACCTTATTCTTAATTAATACTTTTTAGTCAAAAAAATATATTAGTCAAAAAGGTATTAATAAAAAATAAGAGATAAAAATCTAGAACAATGCTTTCTTAAAGAGTTAGTTTACCAATTTTCTCATTCAAAAAGTTCACGCACACTCATAAGTGATAACAGTCATTGATCAGCATGGTCTCAATTTCCTTCAAAATTCTCTAAGCCTGGGCTCGCATGACATAAAAAGTAGACCCCATCCGTGTGCAAGCCCCGGATAACGACACTGGGTGTTAAACACAAGCCCCGGGCAGCCGTGTTTGCTGTTTAACACCCGGCATCACCCATGAGTCCTCTCCAGTCCCCAGCACACATCATCAAGGTTAACATTTTAGTTTCTTCCATTTAACTTTGAGAAACAGGTTTCAATCATACCAAGAAATTAAACGCTCGTCAAAAGATAACATCAAGCCATCTTTTTTGAGAGAGAGGATTTAACTTTAAGAAACATGTCTCAATCATACCAAGAAATATCAAAGCATCTTTTTTGAGAGAGGATAGCATCTTTTTTGAAAGAGAGAGGTACATTCGGTACGGCTTTAAGTATTTGTATACTGACCAGCAGACATGTAAACGTAAATGCTATGAAAAACGTGGGAAGGCCGTAGGACTGCTGCATATACTGTACAGATTCGCAAGGAATCGAGCAAAATTACAACATAAAATTCAAAACATATTTTCATGGCCACCGGGGACAGTTATAAGAGTTCAGAAAAAGATATTGTAACAAAATTAGAGCGTCTGGAGACATCGACAAATTATAGTTTTTAACAGATGGTTGCTACCAAATCCGGAAAAGGCTCAAAACTTTCCGGCAGCATTAAATTGTTATCATCATAAAGATAACAAGATAGTAGCTGCAGAGAGCAGTGCTTAACTACACAAAAAATAAAATAAAATACTGACAAAACTTTACCCAGCACTAGCCACCCTCTCTTCATTTTTGTCCATGGCCTTTCTTGCAAGCTCGTAGCCCGCAAAGTTCATCGCACCCAAGGGAGCAATCCAGAAGAACCTTGGTACGGCGCCTTTAAACAACCCAAGTGGTCCTTCATGTCGGAGAATGGAGAAGGCTACCATGCTCATTGAGACAGACCGGCCTTGTGCAGTCATCATTCTAGTCTTCATCACATCAAAGGGTGTGGTGGTGACAGCAGCTAGTCCACCAGATAAAGCCCCAACTACAATCGTTTCCCAGGGTTCCAGTTCACGTCGCAGGAGATGTTGCGCAAGCTTATAACAATAAAGAAACACAATATAATAAGTTACCACAACAAATTGATAGATAAGCAAAATCAAGAACATGCAAATGTCACAAACACCTCGTTGAAGTATTAGAATACCATGTTATACAGGTCACAGACCAGAAGGATATGAGATTCATTCAGCAGACATGATCTTAAAGCCAGGAAATACATTAAGAGGCCCATCAAAGCAAATGCTATATGATCATACCTTCTTGGATTCAGCATAAAGCCCCATGCCAGCAACGTAGAAAGGAACTTCTCGACAAAGAGTTGCACCAGTCCCCCGAAAGAAGCCCCTAAGACCATCCTGGTGCCACGTCCCGACAATAGCCTCTCCCACATTGTTAAAAATGCCAGCCTGACACCGCTGCTTTAATACCTCACACGGGATCCTCACCGCTGTTCCCAAAACCGTGCTGCAAAATGATGCTATAGATTGAACCTATAGGACAAACCAAAACATTAGAAAACAGAGTCAATACGCAACTAAATATTCAACAAATAGATTAACATTAACAAGTATCATTCAACCAGAAATTTGAGTAAAGACAAGCAAGTTTCCAGTTGCCGCCCGTATAAACTACTAATCCATTTTTTGCATTGTTTAAGAATGAAATGTGCGACAACTTTCTTCAAATTCATCCATCGACACTCTATTGAGGCCCATAACATCAACACATTCGATACGCACGCGCACGCGTGTGTGTGTGTGAAAGAGGAGGCATTCAACTGCCTGTTATTGAGATTCGTTTTCTATTTTCTATAACACAGAAATCCCCCTCATCGTTCTTATAGCAAACTCGTGTTCTAAACTGAAAACCCAAATTACCAATAAATAGCAACTTTTCGAAGGTATGAAACTCAGGAATATGTATTTTTTTTATGCCCCACAGGGAAGCTACTGTTTGGACCTTTTCATGTGTTACTATACTTGTACATTGCCCTTACAGTTTCTCGTAAAGGAGAAAAAGTTGTGTGGATGTATGATCGTTAAATAGCTTCGAATTAAATTTCTGGATATCATAGAAAAAGCACCTACAAACATCCAGGCAGAACAAAATGTGGTGACCAGCAAGAGGATCTTGATTTATGGGTACACTAGTAAGCTTCTGAAGAAAGTGCAAACTGGAAGTACTATAATAGGTAAATTAAAATTCACCTGGAGCTCTGGTAGTGTTGGAGCAACATTTATAAGAACTAGTTTACTTGCTTCAAATATGCCAGTTCGCAGGCCATGGCTACAATATTAAAAGAAAACATTCCACAAAAACAAAAGATATCAGTTGAATCAGATAGGAACTTCTCTTTTCTATTTCCCATCGCACAAATAGAAGGGAGAAAAAGGACAACCTTGAAAATTGACCAAGAATGGCAGGGATTGAACCCCTATATACACCCTGCACTCCAATTTGTGGAAGCTTCGAAATAATTTCAGGGAAGGACATTGTTGACGCTTGCACACGAGTCTGACAAAACAAAAACATTGAAAATGAAGAGTTAGCCAAGATCATGTCCAATCAGAGGAAATTATGAACTTCCAGGGCATAACCATATCACCAAATAAAAGCCTCAGGAAAAAAAATTAAAAAAAAAAAAAAAAACAAGAAAACTAGAGCAAAAAGAAAAAGGAAAGCAAAGAATTTGCCTTTATGGTATCAACAGGATGCATTAGAGCGCAAGAAAGTGCACATGAAAGGCCCCCTGCCAAAGCAGATTTCAGTACACTTCCAGCAGGTATTTCCATTGGAGGAGCAACAGCAACAACAGTTGCAGCTTCAAACCAGACACTCCTGTATTATTGGAACATAAGTTACCAAGACATCAGCCAAAAATCCTAGTAAAGCAGTATTAGCAATCTATGTCTGTGAGTTCGAGCAATATACATATGACTTTTGAATTTGCTTTTACAGCATCTGATTTCTCATTGCAGAGTTTCATCATAAATTATGCATCAATAACAAAGACACAATGATGTCTTTTCTTTTTCTTTTTTTTTTTTGTCTTAACAACGAAGCTTGTTACAATTTCATGCGTACGTTTTCTTTTTTTTTTTGTCTTAACAACGAAGCTTGTTACAATTTCATGCGTACGTGAATATAAGAGACACTCTAACTAGATTAGATGTCACATAATTATCTATGTTTCAAAGGGTTTTAACATCCAAATATGCCTAACTTGCTCCTATAAACAATATTGCTTACCGGGGGTCATCTTGCAATCGATCAGAAGGGAGTAAAAGCATAAAATTTCGAAAATGTCCATAAGAAATAGATTCTTCCAAGTCTGCATTCAGAAATCGCATCATAGCAACAGCATTGTCTTCATTAGCTGGAAGTCCAGCATTTTTAAGTGACGCCAATACTTCACTCTTTTGCAGCGTCCCAGACTTGCTCAGGCAAAGAGAAGTATATGCACGAAGAATGGTTGATTCCTTCTGCTCCATCAAGGATAAAAATTGTTTCCAGCCAAACGACTTTGAAAATATGTGGCTCCTAGTACGGCGCATGAACTCATGAGCATATCTCCGTGGCAATTTCCTCTTTCTCATTGCAACTTCAAGATCTTCTAAAGTTACTTGGCCATCACCATCTCTATCCAGTTCTTCAAAGAATCTCCTTCCTGTATGCATGAATAGCTTAAGATGGTCCGAATTATTCTTTCATACAATTGTACAGGCAAATCCATTTTGTCATAATCAGAATCTATTAGCACGTAATATATCAACCTCCATAAAAATTGCTTCTCTTGATAGTGTCAACAATCTTAAGATCGAGTAAAAACTTTCTTCCTGATCAATAAATGTCAGCTCTCCAAACATAAATATGATAACTCCTATCATCTAGCCAAAACAAGCAGGTATAGTATAGGTTAAATTACACCGTTAGTTCCAAAAGTAAACCACCTTTTATGCTTTGGTCCCTAAAGTAAATTTCTTGCCATTCAACTCCTTCAAGTAGCTTAAATGTTGCATTGGGTGTCCCATTTTTGTGATTTCATTGTGTGTATGTTCAACGCTCATGTATTGTGTTACCCAAAATATAGGATAGAAATAAAATAATATCCCACCACCTTGAGCTAACCAAATATGTGCCTCTCATGAGATTATTTTACAACAAAACAATCACATGCCTTTGATTGTAATTATTGCATAGAATATGCACTAAGATGCCATAGAGAAAACTGTGCTATCCTTGCACCGATCTCCTTGGTGCTTTTATGAACAAAAATCTTCAAAATTTTTCATCTAAAAGGACACGCACAAGCACACACATAAAGTCTTTAATTCCTAGTCGTCAAGGAATGATGATACCAGCAACAACAACAAAAAAGGGGGTCCTTTATGGCAATTACATTTTGTGAAAACAAACATAAAAGCTCTTTAAATTCTAGTCAGAAACCATTTGGCATGCAGCTTAACAGAACATACCTTCAGACTGCGTGTATCTAAAGAAATCTTGGACAGAGATCAGCTTCTTCTTGTCAGGATAATCCTTAGAAGGTCGTCCTAGATGCGGTACAAGCTCAATTAGTTCTGTCAACGAAACAGTAGATAACGTGGACCTCAACCGCTCCACATTAGATAGTGGAATACTAAATATGCCACTGGCCAGCTTCTGTGGTGAAATACCCCCAGTTTCTTCACTATTCCCATCATTAGCACCAACAGCACCCTCTTCATTAACCGAAGAAGTAACCCCAACAACACCAGAAGGAACACCCCCAACTTTTGCAAACATCAGATTTCCCAAAAAATCATTTACGTCTGCTTTGCGACCATCCAGAATACCTTTTAACTGATCAAATTGGGATGTTAAAGACGTCTGCACGGGAGTTTCACAATCCTTATTACCATCTTCTCGCACACCCTTATCAAACTTCTGAAGATTATGATTTAGTTTATCGAAGACAAAACCTATAAAGCATTCAAACGGTTCATATTTTGCTTCTTTATGTGTCGCACCCTCATTTTGTGTTGTCTTGATATGGTGACCCTTAGACGACCTTTGCTTCAATTCACCAGAAACCTTCTGCTTGTTACACTTACACAATTCCTCATCGTCCCTCGCCTTCTGCAACCGCCTCTTACCCGCTTTGAACGGGCCTGGTAATGCCTGAACAACACAGTTAACGAGCAAGGACCAAGCCAAATTAAACTGCAAGCAATTCACACAAGACCCATCCTCCTTTGCCAAATCCAAATCCAAATCCGTCCCTTTCGCTCCCTTTTTCTGCACTTCCACTTGGTTTCCATCTCCGGAATTCGGCAAAAACTTCCCAAACAAAACCTTTATCGGGACCTTAATATATAATCCTTTCTTTCTCTCCTCACCACCAACTGAGACACACTGTCCACTTTTCTTCTTCGAACCACCGATCTGAACTTTACCATTCTTATCTCCTCCGCCAAATTCACTAGCCAATCCAACAGTGTTTCCCTTATTCCTAGGCCCAGACCAACGGTCCTCGAAGTCCTTCGCCGCCTTCTGCAAGCTCAATTCAAGGGGCGAAAGAGCTTCTTTCACGACTTGAAAAGAATTCAGAATCGACTCGATTGGGTCATTCGCAGTCACCATTACTATCAAACTAAATTCAATCCACTTTTCAACTCTTGTATATTTAGTATTTACACTCTTATCTTATCTATATATCTACCCGATCCAATTTCAGCAAAATCAACGCAATTCCTACCAGAAAGACGAAATAATCAAACCCTAAATCAGACAAAGGAGCGACGGACCTTCGAAAATCCGACGATCGCCGTGAGATCCGAACAAGAAGCGGGTCAACCGGTTGAATCCGAAACTCTGAAGAAGAAAAATCCAAGCTCTAATGGCCTCAAATCCCAAAACCACCGCACATTTTTTGTGCCGACTCAAGAACAATCCATAGTCATCAAAAACCAGAAACAGCTTCTCGTTTTGCCTCTTCTCTTTCGGCTCTCAATCAATCATTTAACCCCAAAGAAACGTCAGATTTTAAGTTTTCGAAACAGTGGAAACCATTAAAGAGGGAAAATCGAGCTCAGAAAGATAAATTTTGGTCTTCTGTTCCTGTTTCAGAGAAAGAGAGAGATTTGGGTGACAGAACAAAGAAGAAGAAGAAGAAGAGAAGAGGTTTGAGGTCTATAATGATTATTCATCATTTAAAAATTAAATTAAAAAATAATAAGATAAAAAATGGAATTGTTTTTTTGTTTTTGTTTTTTTATTATTTTATGGATAATTTAATGCTGAATGGATAAAGGCTGACGTGAGGACTCGTAGGACAGAGTCACAGACGACACTTGTTGGGCCCTTTTGAATTTGGATCGTACGGTGGTAGTTGGTCCAAATACTTCAGTTTTTATTTTTTATTGAGAAGTTTTATTTCAAGATTAAAACGAACTTAAAGACTAATTCAATGCTTATCCAGTTATCCTATTCGTAATATTATGCAAATAAATATGGTAACAAAGAAGCTCAACTCTTTTTCCCGTTTTTTTTTTTGGTTAATATCCATGCAAAACAAGGCTAATAAGTTTACATAAATATACGGATTGTGCATGGAAGAAAAATTTCCAAACTTTCAACAACCTTTTAAGGTTTCGAAATATATTTTCACTCGATTCTTGAATATTGTCAATCAAATTTCAACTTTAATAGGATAACTGAATAAAAAAAAAATTTCAATCAGATAAAAACAAATCAAATTTCAACTTTAAGGGCTTCAGTAGTATAGCTTTATCTCCATAATTGATGTCCCCTATCCTAAAATATATGAATAGTTATAATTTATTTTATTTTAAAGAATATATACATGCTACCCAAATTTCAACCAGGTTGGAAACGATTTTATTCTTTTAAGTTTTTTATCAAAATTCTATCTGACATTTTTTTTATTTTTATAAAAAAAACTGACATTTTTTTTATTTTTATAAAAAAAAAACATACATACATTCTAAAATTTTGAGAAGTTTTGAGACTCTATTAATTATAAAAAAGGTTGTTACATACTAAACGCGAAAATCGAAGTCAACAGAGGAAAAAAGAAAGTATACATAAGTTGTTAATTTTTCCTTTTCAACTAGTTTGCTTGAGCATAAATAAAGGAACTGATTTTTATTTTATTTTTTGAAGGATGAAGGAACTGGTTGTTATTGATTAGTCTTTTACGATAAATTTTTCAATAAAATTACATAAACAAAAATTTCCAACAAAAAAAAAAAAATATAGAAAAACGACAGGAAAGAGAATCAAAGGTCTGCGTCAGATAATAGTGGTGGTTGTATTAGATTATTAGTGGTGTCTGTGGGTAGACGTGTCATATAAATGATGCCACAGATAGGACACTTGTCAAAGCCAGCCAATCGTTTCTCTTGTTCACAAACTTTTATCTTGTCACAATCACAATTTACAAAAAGGGTGAATTTAGAAATAGAAATAAAAAAGGGACGGTTATATTTTTTTAATTGTTAAATTTATATATTTTTTTTTATTTTTATGTAATTTTATGTAAATTTGATAGATAAAAAATTTGATTTATTAATATGTTAGTATATTAAGAAGATCCATATTGATGTTGAAATTCGCTACAACACCGCATGTGGAAGCGCACTATAATCGGACTCTGTTCTCTGCTTCTTCTAGTCAGATCCATAGAACTATTCAGAACGGATCATTAGCGCTATTCTGCTCGGATCTGATTGAGATGGATCCTTAGAACTGTGAGTTAACCTTCTAAGTTGGTTGTTAATTTATATATTCAAAAAAGAAAGAAGAAATACACGCAAACAAAATAAAATATTTCATTTTATGCTAATAATTTCGTCGCCATATATGACTTTAGAATTGGCAATCATAGTATTCTATTATGTGTCATTCGTTTCCCGGATTCGAGTTTATAATTCGAGCTGAGATGTGACATTTTTTTAGAGTTTTTAACTATAGTAGAAAAAATTAAATGTGATATTTTCTGAAAGCTTTATTTGTAGAAACTTGCGGATTCGAGTTTATAATTCGAGCTGAGATGTGACATTTTTTTAGAGTTTTTAACTATAATAGAAAAAATTAAATGTGATATTTTCTGAAAGCTTTATTTGTAGAAACTTAAAACTGAAAACTCGAATCGGTGAAATGAATAAGGCCTTAGTAATTTTAGAAAGAAAGAAATTTTTTAACCCAAAAAAATGTAGCATACAAAGCATCAAATTGTAACTCAAATTTTTTTATTACATATTTTTCATACAAAAATTTAAATTTAAATTTTTTGTTACATTTTTTGTCTCGCATAAAAAACTTTTAAGTTGTAATTTGAGTTGTAAAAATAACACTCTTTTAAAGAGAAACTTTTTACACCAATTTTTTTTTTTTTTTAAGGAAACACAGCGCTTGATTTTAAATATTGAATTCAATCAAAATTATATTAAAACAAAGTAATATAAAAATGATAAACTTATAAAATTTTAACCTAATTTTCGCATTGCTTAATTTTAAATATTGAATTTAAATAAAATTATATTAATACAAAATATATAAAATTGATAGAACTTATAAAAATTTAATAATTGAAAGCAATATGTTATTTTTTATAGAGTAATTATATTTGTACCCACTAAATTTATTAAAGTCCCCCATCAAATCATAATTTATAGTTTTTATAATTTTGCCCTACATTAAAATTACATTTAACGCCCAATAATATACCCCACATTAATTACAAATAGAAATATTATTTTTTTAAAAAAAATTAAAATAATAAAAAAGCATATATCTACATGAGCTATAGTTAAAAAGTATTTTGTAAATGAATAAAAAAAAATACTCCCACATTTGTTGTTAATATTAATTTCATCTTAATAAACCCTAAATTTCTCTCCATTAAATTCTTTAAAAACTTCAATGGGAGGTATAATTGAAAAAAACAAAACAAAACAAAAAAACAGGCATGTTTGTAAAGTTACGTATTTGTTTTCCTTCTATTTGTTGTTTTTCTTATGATGGTTGTTTGTGAATTTTCTTATAATTCTTCTTTTTGGAACATTAATAGCATAAAACTCTTTTGTTCCTGTTAGGATAGAAATTTTACCCTTTAATCCATTTATTTGCGGGGACTCTATTAAACGGGGCGGGAAAAATCTGCTTTAAATACATTTAGATTGTAAATGAATTAAAATTTTAACCGGTCGCGAATCACGGGTGAAACCATTTCTCAGCCCCAAAAAAAACAACCCAATAGGCTTTTGTATACGAACTGCATATTCTTTGTTATGAAGAGCTGGTCCATTGTGATGAACTTATGTGCACTAAGTGGAACTCTCAAAGTAAAAGGCATTTTTCATTAAAGTATCAAAATGCTGATCCACTACCCTTTGTTTTCCCAAGCATCATATCTTTAGCTTCGTTTATTTTGGAAGCAAGGTAATGACTGCCACCTGCATCAGGATGGTTTGCCACCATTACTTTTCTATGTGCTTCCTTGACCTTGTCTGGTGTCGCATTCTCCCTGTTAGAAAACAAAATTCGCGTTCGATCAGAGACGAATCTATAGCCTTTTCTACTCAAGGCAAGGCATGAGAGAGAATTTGTTTAACTGTTCTCATTCTCACTTGTTTGAAAAGGTTAATTAGAGTTCACAAACACCAGAAAAAAGTTCAATCACAGCCCTCGTCACTAATTCCTTGAAGAAGGAATGGGAAATTGAATACCAATTCCCTAAATATTGGGATGCAGAGTTTAATAATCAAAATTCCTTTCGGCAAAACAGACACCGAAGCAAGGCAGAGAAAGTTCGGTGGCGATGATTATTTCAACAACAAACCTATCAGGAAAGAAATTTGTTTTTGGTTTCATTTTTGTAACGCAAGTGCACGGAAACTATTACGCTAAGATCAGATTTTACATCTTAAATCTATGTTCAAGTAAATTATCAAGCTAACCTGATACCAAGAATAAGAGCTGCTTCTCTTTTGGTCATTGTAGGCTGGAAACCGCCATCATAGAATTTACGTAATTTGGGTTTTGGAGGCCGTGTCTTAAATGCATGCCAGGCCTGAATACCGTATCTACCAGCGAGAGCAGCAGCAGCTACTGCAAGACCAGCTAGAAGCGGTGTACCCTGGTTTTACATCTAAAAGTTGATTAATTCTTATAATTTGTAGCATATCAAATCCCATCTAAAAGAAAGATACACATGTTACAAAAAAATTCAATTAGCGGGGCAGGTCAGTGCGGGGGCAGGTCCGACTGCGGGGCGGCCCCATTGACATCCCTACTCCTATTAAAGCCAATTTCAACACGCCCCTTGTTTGGACCAGATATACAAAATCTATTGATGATTTTTATCCTGTTCATTATCATTACATTGTACTATAAAATTATCTGTTTTTGCGTTTAAGAAGCAAAATAACAATTTCCTTAAATAAAACTTACAAAGGTTTCTGCACTCTACAACTAAACTTGTCAAAGTAATCAACATTATATATATATACATATATATATATATAAGCCTGCTAAACTAAACTCATCAAAGTAAAGACAAGATCAATTTTTGACCTTTGATCTTGTATTGTAAAACTTCATAGCACTCTAGAACTATGGGCCCATTCAGTTCGCTAATTCGAGTTTTTAATTTGAGTTGAGATGTGATATTGTGTGAGAGCTTTTTACTGTAACAAAACTCGAATTTTAAACTCGAATCAGCGAAAACAACGGAGCCTATAAGTATCAGGATTTCTCAATCTCACTCAACAAAACGCCATAGCACATGAGAACCGCCATATCTTTATCACGAACAATCAAGGCAGTCATATAATCAGGACCAGCCAATCGTGATCAAACGGTTTGGAATAACGCAAATGAAAAAAAAAAAAAAATTATCTTTGATCCATTGTTCAACTCAGACTGTCCTAAAATAGTTGTAAAGAAAACTGACAAATCAAATTCAGCTTCTAATTCGGATAAATCAAAATCTATCAGAGAAAGAACAAACATTTCCATTCCAAAATCCAAACTTAGTAGCGCATAAATCAAATCAGAGAAAAGATGAAGAATAAGAACTAGGTAGAGGGAAAAAATTAAGGAAAAACCATGAATTTATGAACCCTTGTGCTAAAACCACTAATTGAACGTACTAATATTGCCAATTATAACAATTGAATTCGGAAATTAATAAAGCCTGAGATGGTTGGCTTACCATTGGCGTGAAATTTTCTGTTCTGAAGCGAAATTGCTCGGCGTTTCATTCAGAATTTCTCGAAGCTTTTTGCCTCGTTGTTCCGGAGGTAAAAAGCACCACCCCCACCTCACACCCGTCAGCCGTTTGGATCGTGTGTTTTATTAATAATCTTCACGTCACACCCGTCAGCCGTTACGAATACCGCTTTTTATTGAAAAATGCTTGGTGGGTATTGGAGATGTCAAAACTCAGAATGGACTAGGCTTAACACCTCGGCACAAATATGATACAGCATAAATATGGTACATGATACGACATAATGATTAAGGCCTTGTTCACTTCACTTATTTAAGTTTAGAATTCGAGTTGAGATACAATTTTATGTGAGAGCTTTTTACTGTAGTAAAAAAGTTAGATGTGATTGTTTGTGAGAGCTTTTTACTGTAGAAAAACTCAAATTCTAAACTCAAATCAGCAAAGTGAACGAGGCCTAAATGGACCTAGCTCTCTAGCTCATCTCATTTAGCAAATAGGTGGGGTTTGACGTGCTTTTTAAGCACGAAATATGCTAAGTGTCGTTGCATTAGAGGTGAAAGTTTGAGCTGCTTAATCCCAATTTGACAGTCTGAATGAAAATTTCTAGTCGGGCCTTAATAGAAGAGAGATGACTCAATCTAGTGAAAAGCCATAAAAGCTTAAGGTCAGTTTGTCCCGAATTTCATAAGATATTTAAAAAAAAGAAAAACTTTAAAAATGACGTTTGACCCAGCCTCAATAAACATTTAAATTCTAAAACTTGGCCCAGCCCAGACTCGAGCTAATAGTGGCGAGCCTCGGACTAACCCGTTTCACTCGGCTCAAATTTACAGTTCTACCCTACGCAAACACAGACATGATTAACGTCTAAAGATGATGTTCACAAGCGGTCGATTGTAGCACAGAATGGCAGTCGTATCCACAGAGAGATAACAAAATAATAAGAAAAATTAGCAGAATAAGATCGTTAGAGAAAAATAAATAACAAGTAAATTAATGAAAAAGAAGAGTTTTTTGAGACTTTGTTGCAAATAAAAAGTAGATAAGATTTGTGTGAAAGAAATTCAGTAGTAAAAACGGTAAGGGTCGAGAATCCCTAATGTTTCGTTCACCAATTCAAGTTTTGATTCACAAAATAAAAAAATCAAATAAATTAAATCTATATGTTGACTCCGAAAATATTATCATTACAAGTTATCCAAAATTGACAATATATCAATTTGACAATATTGCACTAAAAGACAATTTGTAAAATAATTTGAATGACAAAATAGTGCATGACAGAATTACATAAGAAAAGCGTGACTGAACTTATATAAAAATTGGCACAAAATATTTTGAAAAATACATGAAAGATATACATGAGACTTAATTCATTCAGATATTGAACAATACACCACAAGGAATCAAAAGCCCGAATTAGGTCACTAACAAAAGTTCATCTCTAACCTCACAAAGCGAACTATAGCCTAGCTTGCAAGACATTCTCACAAGTTCTATAGAGAAAATATGAGACTGACAATGATTAACGCCCAAAAGTGATATTCACAAGCGATCAATTGTAGCACAGAAGGGCGGTCGTATCCACAGAGAGATAACAAAATAACAAGAATAATTAACAGAATAAGAGTGTTAGAGAAAAGTGAATTAAAGAAAAATGAAAGTTTTTGAGATTTTTGTTGCAAATAAAATAAAAAGGAGAAAATCTGTATGAAGAAAACGGTAAGGTGTCGAGAATACCTAATGCTTCGTTCACCAATTCAAGTTTTGATTCACAAAATAAAATAATCGAATAAATTAAATCTCTATGTTGGCTCAGAAAAATATTATTATTACAAGTTATCTAAAATCGACAATATATCAATATGACAATATTGCAGTAAAAGACAATTTGTAAAATAATTAGAATGACAAAACAATGTGTGACATAATTACATAAGAAAAGCGTGACTGAACTTATATAAAAATTGTGTAAAACATTCTCACAAGTTCTAGAGAGAAAATATGAGACTGACAGCAAGACGACAGAAAACTTAATATTAAAAGCTTCTAAAACCTTAGGCCAACCCTTCTATTTATAGTGTTCAGAGGTTGCCTGTCAAATAAGGAAATAAATTATAAAACTAGAAAATTACAAAAGAAAAGGAAACAAAATAAAATTACACATAAATTAGGAGAAATCATATATTTAATTTGGGGAAGAAATCTGGCCAATTTCCTCTGATACTGATGGAGAAATTCGGATTCAACTCCAAGGGGACACGTGTCGCAATGTGATTGGCAGTGAGGAGGAAAAAAACCACGTGTCGCGGGCGGATTGGGCGGACGGAGCTGGCGATGGTCAGACAGGGGACAAAGTTCACAGCTGGCGCGGCTTCATTGGGAAATCAGACTGGCATTGCAGACGCGGGACCCACGCGGGAGAAGCTGAAACGTGCGATGATGTCTATGTGGAAGGAACGCGCGCGTTGAGGCCATGCGTGCAGGTGACGCGCGTGAGGAAGAGTGAGGAAACGTGGGAGAGCTGGAATCAGCTTGTGGCTCGGCTCACGCGGCTCTCCCTCTCTCTGATCGGCTTGTGCGGCTCGGCTGAGAGCTTGGCTCTGAATGGTTGAAAATATGACTTTCATGGCTTATTTTTGTGTGGCTTTTTACACTGCTTTTTATCTGTAAATAATTAAACAAAAACTAGACAAATTCCAATTAAAAATATTATGAATAAAAATAATGGAATTGTTTAATTAAAGCTTAAATATTTTAATATTGTGTAAATCAAAAGCAATATTTAGGGTGCATTTTCATGCACTAATCACAACCCCCAACCAGCTTATTGCTAGTCTCTAGCAATCCAAGCGCAAGAGAAATCATGTCATAAAGAAAATCTAGTCTCAACTCGCTTAGTCACCTGAGTATTTCAAACAAACTGTTAGCAAGAAGTCAAAAGATACTATCAAGATTATTTCAGTCATAACTCAAGAGTTGTGTGTGTGTGCTCCAAACCGTATCCTTCTTACCACTAACCATAACACATGCAGCTTTGAAAAAAAAATCCCAAGCAGAAGTCTCAACTCCATTGATCTCACAGGTGTCAGAAATATTTAAGTGTAAAGGTTTTCTCTCATGGAGTTGGAAATGAAGCAATCAACGCTCAGTGTGAGGAATGTCAAATTTAGGACAAACAGTCAAACGAACATTAACCAAAAGATAGGTTAATCAACTACTAGAACATTCCACCATTCTTACTGTTGGGAATAGTGTCCTAAAAGCATGAGATGTAAAAGGATATTTATTATTTATTTAATAAAATAGTTTATTCATCATTTTATGTGCATATATTTATATGAATATCAAATAAAATTCCTTGATTATTTATGTAACCTTAAACATTGTATATAAGTGTTGTATACGAGAGGATAATGTTTAAGGATGATAATTAAAAAGTAATTGTTCATAATGAATTTAATTAGAGTTCGGAATGTTTAATTAAAACATTATTAATACATGTCATTCCCATTTAGAATGAAACAGTGTTATCCGCACTGTTAATACGGCGAGATATTGAATGAGTGTATTTCGCATAATGAGATTATGTGGAACATGGACGCAGACACAATATGAATTTCTAATAATTTCCGTTAAGCATAGAAATTCTAATTGAGTCTACCGATAGTCATATATAGGATGATCTTAATCCTGAGTTCTTAACAAACTCCTATTTATGGATTTATGTATTTTGATTTACTCGGTACGGATTCCGAGACCCTGAATCATATTCCTTGTATTTTGGAGACATAATGAAATAGGTAGCTGTGAATGTTATTATACGAGATGGAATACATTCCTTCTTGAGAAAGAAGCAAATAAATAATTCTCTTGAGTGTTGATTCGGTACTTGGATTAGTAAGAGCGCTCTGGTTCATGAATGTGTTTTATGAATCACTATCCATTAGAGAATCAATGGTACTTAAGGATAAAGATGTAATTAAAGAGGTTAACGGATTCTACCTGACTCTAATTATGAATTATTTATGGAGGATTGATCTATATGTAATGACTATATCAAATGGACACTTCGCAGTTTAGAAGTAATTAATGTCTATAATTTCGAGAGTGCAATTCCAAGTTTATAGTGGAGTAACTATTGGAATTAATAGAATTAATTAATTAATTAAAGTGTTTAATTAATTATTAATTTTATTAGAGTTCAGAATTATAGGTCCATTCGTCCCCGCGTCGCCCTTGTAATTCTACCAGACACAAAGGGCAAAATAGGAATTTTAGAATTATGGGATTTTAAAATTAAATACTCGAAAAAATAATTAATTGAGAATTAATTATTATTTAAATAATGTGATTATTTAAATTTGAATTTGAACACATATAGATTTATCCATTTAAACTTATTTGATAAGTTGTTCAATTTAGAATTCAAATTAATTTAAGTTTGACTTAAATTTGAATTTGAATCTGAATTAAAATTGGACTATTGGATAAAGGATAAAATCTCTTTCTTCCCTATCTGATATAGGCGCCACACACATGGATAAAACCCTAAAGTGTGGCCGGCCACCTTGTGGATAAGGGGAAAGGATTTTTTGTTCCAAATTCAAAAAATTGAAGATAAGGATTTGATTCTATTTTGAAGTTTGACTTCTACTCTTTAAATATGAGAAAGATAGAAAATTGTGTATACAATTTTGAAACATATTTTTCAGCCCTAAGTTTGTGGTGGCCGAAATTTCTCATAGTGAAAAATAGAGAGCAAAATTTTTCTCCAAAAATTCCACATCGTGCATGCGTTGGTGTTTGTGGAAATTCGAGTGTTTCAGAAACCTGTTTTGTCTCACGTGTGCCCACACACACGTCTACGTGGAATCAAAGAATTGACGTGGAAGACTTTGGTATTCTAAACACAAAGCTTGGAGCAAGGACTGTTCGTGGTCAAAGAAATTCAAGTTATCATCCGAGTCGGCTTCCAGGTATTTTTTCGGTTGATCCTTGAATCATGTAAATTAATGTGATTAATTTATTCGTGCATAAATTAATATAATCTATAGAGTATCTCAAAAGTTTTATGAAAATTTTTGTTATATCCGATCCGCTGTTTCCCCACGCTTCCGCCGCCGAATTCGATTCGGCAACCAACACTTACCACAACCAACTTTTGGGATTTCATTCGGGTCAAACAGAAATTTACAGAGATGATCAAA